GTGCAGTGTGCGATTGTTGGTGTAAAATGCAAAGTGGTCAACGTTTCACCGCAGGACAATGCGACCGAAGTGTTGCTGTTCTTGTAAACAGCACAGACGCGGTTTGTTGTTCTACTTTTTTGGGTAAATGGTTGACCGTAAACGGCGGCGCATAGGACGCCGCAGAAATACCGCCACTGGTACAATGCCTCGTTCGCTAGCACCGTACATGGTCTTAGTACGGTAATGCAACAATTTTCAGTTGTTCAATATACCCAATTATGTATGTACACCCTCGCCATTTTAGTTCATTTAAAATTATCGGTGTACTTTTACTGCAAACAAGAACGTAATCGACGTAGGACGTAGGATAGACATTTAAAAGTATTGAATATATAAACATCAAATCATTTACGTCACGAATCGGCAATTCGCGTACTTCGTATTTAATATATGTAATCCGGCTGTAAAGAAACATTCGCATCGGGATGCATCGAGAGCATCGAAACAAAATTATATTTTATGGAAATGGATGTTGAATCGACGCCAAAGTTCTCACATCACGACAGTTATGCGGGCGGTGAGTGCGAGCACAGTGCCGTGTATATAGACAACAATAAGGCCGCGCCTTGTCCCGTAAACATTCTTTGCTGCAATCATTATGAATATAACCTATAAATTATCAGAGAGCCGACTGCGTGCAAGCGGCCCGCATCGCGGGAATTCGCAATGAGGGCCGGGCACTGTCGCACTCCCCTGCCAGACTCAATGGAATAACTGCACGCTGCAGTCGGCGGACCACGAGTCTGCCAATTAGACTTTGAGCTGCACTTTACCCAAAGATTGATCTTGTAGATATGACCATGCGCTGGTGTTATAAATCAATTCCTTCAGATAACCTTATTTTGTGGTCTTCATGCAAAGTAGAAAGGTAGTGTTTAAAATACTAAGTTCTCTCTGATCGTTTAATCTATATAAAGTATGTTATAGCCATATCTATATTAATGAAAATGGAAAATTATTGTTGTTTGATGTTTGCTCTCTATTTATTAGGTTTTTTTTATTAATTCATCGTGAATGGTAAACATTTTTCAACATCTTCTGCTACTTAGTTCATTCATTCATTAATTTATTCCGAGTTTCATATAAATTTCGATAAGAAGGTGATACATATATACAAAATTAAAGTTTCACGTTAGGTATTATTGTTATCATCGAGTTGTGAGACATAAATTTAGGTTAATAGGATCGTACATTCATGCACAAATTGGACAGCACTGGTTTATTATAAATAGATAAATGAAATATATTACTTTAACTCGCGTAATTGTGCTATTGTTTGGGTTAAAAAATTCTAAGCCTTTTCCGTGCCAATCGAAGCACAAAGTTTTTTTTTATGCAACTTAACAAACAAGCTGACGGCCCATCTGGTGGAAATTAAATGCCTTATTTAAATGATCTAAACTTGAATTTGATAAATTATGGTTTGTGCTGGGATTCGATCTTGGGGTCCCGCTTTGTATTAAATATTATGCAATAGATTGTTATCGCTAAAATAAAACGTAGAAATCAAAAATAAAAAGGTATGATTCTAAACGAAAGGAGTAGAAGATCTAAAAGTAAAGTAGGTAGGTGACGCGATCTGGCACGAGAGTGGGAATAAGGAAAATAACAAAACAATCGAATTACATCACGATATACATATAACCACTAATTGATTCAAATTATTTTCAAAATGTACCTATGTACCTAGATTTGCGGTAGGTACTTCCTGGCAAACTTACAGCCCGTGACAGGTAGGTACGTGGCAGACTGTCAGATTTCGAGGTGACACAATATGTATATGACAGTGTACAGTTTTCAGCGAGCGCGCCGTCGTTACGTCACCAGACGTCGCGTCATTGGTTCTAAATAGTTCCGTCGCGCGATATCTGTTGTTTGCCGAAATTCACTTTTTTACACATAGTCGAGGTCAAGGTGTAAGATGCATTATTAATCTATCGCAAGTTGAGTCATATGCTCTCATTCATTTATGTAATATAGGAACAATACAAATACTAAAGCAGTGTGTCATAATCACAAGTAAAGGTTAATTCTTATCTTTCGTTAATTAATAGCTCTAAAGTTAAGCATATACAATATTATGGGCGGGGTTATATGTAGAATAGGGTTGTCGAGTGACACTTTTAAATGTAGGTACATTTATTTGATCCTGGTATAGTGAACAAGATTTTTTCAACTACTAATATTATTGACTAGCTTTTAGCCACGATTTTGTCCGTGTAACCAGGATATAAAATAGCCAAATAATACGTGTTTGATTGGTTAAGCGGTTATGGTACTAAGAGGTAACAAACAAACAAAAATTCACATTTATAGTATTAATAAGGATTAGTAAGGATGGATTTTCAATTTTAAAAAAAGGAGAAGTTACTTATGTGTCTCAATATTCAAGTTTAGGAGGTATTATTAACTATATACATACTTTTATTGTAAACAAGAAACTTATCTGATGATACTTGAATGTTCAAGGCTTTTTATTGAAGCTATAGTTAATAAACTGCACTTGAATATTCAAGTATCCGTGTCATTTATTTAATCTTCTTTCAAACATCTCATAAATATGCAACATATATATGATTAGGAAGTACTAAAGTATCTAGTCCTCTTGAGTCGTATTTATTGCTTTGAATTGATTATAATGGCTTTGGGCTGTATGTGTTACTCTGTACTAGTACTAGTTGCGAATGATTTGCCCATGTTAGCGAGGAGAGTCGTGTTCCGCCGGGTCGGCGCCGCAGAACAATATTCAACCCTGTGCGCCTCTGATACCTATTCTATGCTTAGATTCTGTGACACTGTGATCTGTCGATGACCGTTAACTGTCGCGACATAAACACTAAACTTGCTATGCTAACAACATATACTGTTTTACTCGAGCTGATTGGCGCGATTCCATTATACCACGGATGTGGGACCTGATGAATCAATTTAATATAAAGTATAACGAGTTATGACAATGCTATTAAATGAATTGATCTGGTCGGTCGCCACTTTGTCTGCTACTACAACGGTGTATCGGTACTACTGATTTAAGAATAATTGAGCGTGGGTTTATGTTTTCTTGAATGTTTGGCATATCGTGTCTTTTTTGTTGCGGCGCACTCAAACAAATTGTTACGCATCAGCAGTTTCTTTTCATGAACGCCGTCTTTACGGCGCCTGGTTACATCATACGATTGGAAAACTCGGCGTGTCGATGAGGCTTAAAACGCTGCGGCGCGTCTAGACTAGAAATGAAGTGACGGCACTAGTCGCATCACGTAGTCGCTCTCGAGGTTGCTTTCAAAAGTTTAAATTTACGCTAAATGACATTAATGAGTGGTGTTGGCCGAAGAGGCGCCGTAGACGGATCGCCAGTGCTCAGTACGCGATGTAAGCGCGCATAAATATTCATCACACACACAAGCGAGAGTTGCGCACGGGCGCCGAGAGTCGAGTCAAAGGTGCCCCGGCGCCGCTTGTGCCTCCATTACGCTTAGGGTTGTCAGAAAATTTACAATAATTATAATACACAGTGGCTATTAAATATTCAAATTAACATACCTGATTATTAATGTAAAAGATACCTGCATTTTATATAAATGTAATTTGAGTTTTACTATCTGATAAGGCAATTGTTGACGGTTAGATAGAATAGGAAGACTTGATTATTATGTTTACATAGAATTACAATCTTTATTGTCGCCTAATTGGATACTTATGCAAATGTAATACTCAACGACAATCCTTCGCATTACTGTTATGCACGTATCATTCCATCATCTACTCATCTTGTTTAACGCGCATTGTTGTTATTCTGAGTTTCTTAGTTCACGTAATCGCCATTCTGGCGCCGTTTGCTAATAAATTTAGGGCTGTCTCTGCATTATATGAATTTACAGAGTGAATTATGAATGTTGGCGCCAGAGCGTGCTAGATCATAATCTACCTTCAGACATATCTACGAAAACAAGTCCTCTCATCGTGTTGTTTACCACAGATACTATTTGATATTTGTCATATATTTTTGCTGTTTAGTACAAATAATCAGATAATAAAATTTATTAGGTTTATTTATAGAAAATATAGTTGGCTGCATTAGTATCGTTCCTACGTCAAAAGAAATAGCAATAATAATGAAGAGAAATTATTTTTATTAATCGCAAATATTAATTTGAATATATTACTTTATCGAAAGTCTTGAACTGCCTATTGTAATATAACATTGTTACCTGGTCTGTTTTTAGACGTTTATTAGACTTTTACAGTCTTTATATAAAAAGTTCCGAACCTTTACTTTTTATAGTTACTTTTAGGAATTTCGATTGTTCATACGTAAAAATATGTAGTCTGAATATTAATTTAGTGCCATTTGACGTTTTATATTTACTCGCGGAAATTGAATAAATCATATTGCAAATTCTATCGGGTTTACGATTATTTAACGAGCGCATCGACAAATCGGGTACAATCAAACTGTCGTGCAAAATGTCACTGCTCTCTCTATTTCTGTACAGAGCAGACCCAACAAGAAAACTATGCAAAGCACAAATTCTACCGTCGCCGTCTAGACGCCTGTCCTGTTACGATTGAATAACATTTGATCCAATCAACCAGAATGGAAGGGTCGGAGAGGTCTTGCGAACCATCATGGCAGCAGTCGTGGACGTAATTCGCGATCAATTGATCGAAAGCGCCGTTTTTATGAGGCACTGTGCCGGATCGAGAATGTATTAAACGTGTGTTATAACATTTTCAATAATAAAAAATATTACTTATATTCATAACGTGCTATGATTAAATGTATACCCAACTTACCTAGCGTTATTTACAGAGTCTAATACAATTCGATAAATGTACATTGTACAATGTTAGTTTAGATGACGAAAAAAGCTTATTCCAAATTTGATTAATTCATTCATTGTATTTTATACAAGATATCTATGAGTAAATATAAATTGTTGTTTTTTTTGTTTCAGCACCAGACCTAGTACAACAGGATAGTCCATCGGTCATCGTTGTTGAAGAGATACTTAGTATGAAACGTAAGATTTTTTAATTATTATTTTTTTAAACTATTTTTAGATGCGGCATCTATTATTAAAGCATTTTTTTGGATGAACTTATATATGTGCATTTTATTATTGAATAGCTATAAAACATAAATAGTTACTGAATTCACAAAGTGGCAATGGTTTATTTATGTCTGAAAAAAAATAAAAAAATGAACAATTATGAAGTAATAAATTTGTTTAAATAAACATTTTTTTTTTATTTAAATTTGCAGACTTCGGAGCACTGCTGACGGGTCGCTCTCCACTATGTATCAGGCGCGATGACATGACGGGAGTGCCTGTCGCTCGAGGGGTGGCTACAGCACGCTTCATCTTCCGTCGCCGACATTTGTACTGGTCTATTATACTTGGAACATCGATCACGGTTCAGCCAAGAGCGCTCTTGTTCTTAGACCGGGAAGGAAGATTATTGATCGAAAATCCTTTAGTAAAAGTACCTGGCATTCACGCTACGTATGAAGATAAAACTGATAAGGTTTGTTTTAAAAATATCTGTTGAAACAATATAAAAATAGTGAAGTTTGATTTATAACTTTTTAAGTTATACCTACATTAAAAAGGTATCCATATGTTTTCGGTATAGAAAGGGCCACCCCTTCTTTTCCCGTGGGTGTCGTAAGAGGCGACTAAGGGGATTTAATGGCCGTGGTTTAGGCAGTAGTGTCCTTCTTAAAACATCACAAAAGTCAAACTGCGGTTGCCAACCTGCCTGTCAAACATGGTAACTAATGGTAAAACCCACTAAGGGGAAGGCTTATGATCAGCAGTGGACAGTTAACGGCTGATATGATGATGATAGAGAGGTAGGTTCTAAGTAACTTATCTGGGTAAATACCAATGAGTAACGAGCTCAATCTTTAACATGAATAATAGACGAGAGAAAATGAAGTTGCACTATACATACATACACGTATATATAAAAATATCGGATATTCTATATATTTATTTAACAATTTGTAGTTATGACTAGATAGAGTGACGATCTCAAATGTACTGCAGGGGATCAGTAAATGCAGGTAGCTCAGGACCGTTCCTTATGGCATTCTATGGAGGAAGCTTATGTTCAACAGTGGACAGATAATGATTTTTTTTAATGGATGATTTTTTTTTTTTTTTTTTTATACAACTTAGAATAGCAAACAAGCTGACGGCCCACCTGATGTAAAGTGGCAACCGTCGCCTATAGACATGAGCAGTACCATGGACATAACAGAGTTTACTGTTTAGCCCATGATACTCCCCATGCGGCCATTCCTGAGGACTCAATGTTATTTTTGTACCCAGTAAATTCAATATCCCACTCTTCAAACCGAAACACAGCCATGCAAACACAACTGCTTTATGGTTGAAACACTAATGGTAACCCCACCTGCGCTATCGGTATACACTGGTGGGGCACCAGTGAGGGATGATAGGTGAGGATTAAGCAGGTCAGTTAGCCCACCGTGCCGAATCTAATAATAAATCAATCACGATGGTTTCCAAGGGGAACCACGAGAAGGTCGACCTGATGTGGTATATTGATAGTAATGGGGCTACTAATACTCTTTATTAAAAATCCTTTCTCCCCCCGACAGATAATGGTTGAAACGATGATGATGACTGCCATCAGATGATCTTATATATCTTAGTGACAGCAATACTCCATATGGAGTATTGCTGTCACTTATGGGCGGGAGCACCTAGATACTAGCTTGAACCCTTCAACTCAGTGCAACGACGAGCTATGAGAATTGTCGATGATCCCATGCTTGCAAGCGGTATTGAACCCTTAAGTCTTAGGAGAGATTTTGTCTCACTCTGCGTGTTCTACCGCTTATACAATGGATTGTGCTCAGAGGAATTATTCAATATGATGCCTACGGCCACTTTCTATCATCGTACGGCTCGCCATCGACAGGGAGTTCACCCTCATACCTTACAGCCTAAATGGTCGTGTACAACGCGGTTTCAGAGATGCTTTCTCCCACGAACACTCAGGTTATGGAATGAGCTCCCTGCCGAGGTTTTCCCGAGAGACTACAGCATGGGGTTCTTCAAAAGGGGGGTAAAGAGGTTTCTTCAGGGTCGGCAACGCGCGCGTAATACTTTTATACCATATTTTATACCATATTTTTTTTATACCACCTCAGTGGTATAAAAAAAAATAAAAAAAAGCAATATTTTGAAGATAAATTTTAGATAAGAATTAATTATTTAATATTCAAAATATGGTATTGTTTATTCAGGTTCATTTCCATGTTCTATCAGCCGAGCTTTTACCTTGTTATAAACTTACAATACTAGTGTAGAATAATAAAAATTCAGGGGATATTAGTAACATCTCGTTTTGTTTTTTGCAGTTATGCGGTGTGTGGCGTAGAGTGCCGCGCGAATATAAACGTCTATTGCGGGATGGTTCTTTATTCGTGGCATTGGTATGGGGCGATGCAGAAAACAGTACGATGGAGAGTGCATTGAGTGGTCGAATTGACAGGTACTGGAAACATAACCATTTTATTAATCAACGTTCAAGTTTCATGATTTCATATCTTTTTTATATTAGCCGCTTTCAATTTGTAGGTAAGGCATATCATAGATTGCTACTACTATCCCAAGATTAGTATGTGTGCATCTATTAAATTATAACAATCAGGATAATAAAAGAAAAAGTATAACGAAAGTAAAAGTAAAGTATAGAAATCGTTAATCCTATATTAGTAAACTCAAGTAAATGTAAGTTGCATGACAACCGACCATAACTTGCTAAAACATCCTCTGTCAATCTTCAACTTTTATTTTATCCACTTACATTTATTATTATTATGCACAGAAAAACTATGGTCTTTACATATTAATATCATTAATGAATTCATTGTAAATAAATTAATGCAACCATTTATACATATTAATATCTAGTATATCACAATAATACTGATGCAATAGATTTATCCTTGAACAGATGTTCCAAGGAAAGAACAGTAGGACCGTTGATTGTTGCTTGTAAATTAAATTAGCCGTGAGAATACACTGACGGAAAGCCCCTTCGGTTTCATTTGAAGCTGGTCTAGGAAAATACCGGCGCGTTGGCTGTGAACTGTGACTCAGTTTTCAATTTCCAGTTGTTTATGATCTGACAATTGTCTAATCGTTTTGTACCGAGGCTATTTTATTAACGTACAAGAATGATTGCCTTCATTTGCTCGATGAATAAGAATTCTTGAAACTAACATAGGTACATATATTCAATAGCATCATCACGTAGATCATTCCATTCGAAAATAGATATGTTTTTATCACAAGTATTAGAACACTTTTTAAAATAAAATTACTATAAGATTGTATATACTCTATTTTATAAATTGATTTAGTATGTATTTTGATAATGTCATGTACAATATGATAGGTATATTTTGAGGAATCAGAGTAATCTTGTACAAAATAATAATAAGAAGGATAGATGTCATCGTAATGCGCTTTTCTAAATTAGTTCATAGTAAAACATGGGTCTGGAAATTTCAAATCTATCTAAATGTAAACTGTATCAAATATTACTTATTCTCTAATCTCGAACTTATTATAAATTACAGATATCCGGCATTAACATCCGAAATGTTCACGTCATTACTAGAACCAGAATATCTTCCTCCACCATCAGGCAACAGCGCATGCGAAGATAGTTTCAAACCTGGCCAAACAAGCCTGGCTCTTGCAGGTCAGCAAGAAGGTTGGGGAGGAACTGCGGTAGTGACAGGGGTGGCTGGTGCTGCTCCAAGTCTTCATTTTGCTATCGCATATAATGGAATTTTCTCACCTGTCCCACGAGAAAAGGAGCAGGCCGTCCGGGTAATGCTGACTATGCCGGATAAAAACCAAACTATTATTGACGAGGTTAGTAACCTTACTAATATTATAAAGAGAAAGTTCGTAAAGGTATTTTCTTTACATATTTGTTATTAAAACAAGCTTAAAAGACCGAATAGATTTGAAAAGGTAGACTACATTCGATATTAGTATAGGATATTTATAACCTAATTCTCATGAGCAAGGTCAAAGAGTTACAGCTAGTAGAAAATTAAAAGTATATTCAGATAAATCTACTAAGATGATATAGTGTGGCTAACACTTATATTTGTTTTTATTGTATATCTAACGTGTGATACAATCAGTATTTCAAAGTTTTCAATTCATACAGTTAGTTATAAATACAACGTATAAACTACTTTGTGGATTAGATAAAAGTGTCCATTACTACTTATCCATCTACTATTTCGCGGATTGATATTTCATTTGAGAAAACCGTTCATCTGTCTTATTTTACATTACTTTAATATGTCGAAGGAAATAATAATATCACAATGGCCATTTTGCAGATACATCAAATTGCGAAACCGGGTTACGAACTGAACGTCCTCGAAGTATCAACTCCAGTCACAGCTGCCGAGTTACGCTCTTTAGCTAGAGGCCGGCTCTTTCTTTCGATTGAGGAGATAGGAGCACCAGAAAGACGTATAACAGGGAAAGTAATGCAAAAAGCCACATGTGAAGTGTACCATGCACCATTAGTAGCGGAGAGATTGCCGGCATCGTCAGTTCCCGAAGGGCTTGCCCTACTTTATATCGATAAAGAGGGATCACTTGTCTATGACATACAGGTATATATTATTATAAATAATTTTTATTTACAATTATAATTAATGATCTTTTTTATTAATATTATAATTAATTAGATTTTATTAACCTTGTAACGTGTGTTCTTTCCGTCTATTTTATTGCTAAGTTTTTGCTCGTATAATTACAGTTTATAATTTACATAGTAGTTATTAGCAATAAAAAATTATAATTAAAAAAATAGTGACTGATCGGATAAAATAAAATTTATGTAATACTAAAATAAAATAAAAATAAATAAATGAACTATAAAATTACAGCAGATACGATAGTAAGCGTAAAAGATATAGTCTCTCATTGCAGGCACTATTTCTATATCAGAACTGAGTAAAATTTTGTAATAATTTAGATTAAAACTCAAAAATACTCTATAGAAGAGTTATGTAACATTAATTGAAATGGAGCATTTACTATCAGGCTGAGAAAGCTGGCTTAATTTAGGCTTAATTTTATACATATATATATATAAAGGTACAATTTCAAGCCGTTAACGTTGACAACGCAAACTAAGAAGCTATAATAGCTCCGTTATAATCGAGAACAATGATTTATTGCAGCGACTAGTTTGTGAAATATATTTTAATTTGAAAAAATGTAATAGTATAACAAAAGTGCAGGTGGTTCGGGATTATTCTTTGTGGCAGTCTATGAGAGAGGTCTTTGTTCTGCAGTGGTCAGTTAACGATTGATAAGATGATTACAAAGTATTAAAAACCTTAAAAACATTGTGTTGTGAATTATTACTGATCGATTCTAATACCTTTTTAATATGTATGTTTCAGATTGACAACTTGGATGCAACTGACCCTAAAATAACGCTGGTAGAAGAGCAAGGAAAGCGTCATTCCCAAGTGGAGATATTAGATACAAGGACAGGTGTTCTTGCTAGACCTAGCGCGCGAATATTCCCACCTCTATATGATGATCAGCTAGCAGTACATATTGGTGGAGATCTTGGTAAGATATTCCATTATATAAATCATAATATTTATCATTTGAAGTTGTAAAATTTGTTTTACGTGTATGAAGAACGTAATGCACTCAGTACGCGTACATTTTTCGAGCATATTTTAATCCAACGTTGTAAGAGGAAAGCTGGATTTGTTTTCTTGACAATTTTTTATATCTATAAGTCGTGGTAACTAACTACTTGACCAGATACTTTGTGAATTATAAAATATTAAGAATTCTATTATTATTGCTATTATATTATTTTCAATCGTTTCTTTTAGGTCCACCGCTTCTTCGCGGTAGATTATTATCTCGACCGTTGCCTGATGCTGCTAGTGGTGGGCCGGCATTACTGAAGCGCATCGATGCTTTGGTGCCCGTCACAGCAAACCCTGTAGCTGGCCTCGCTTGGGTCTCAGTTGATGCATTATGTGGGTTGCATTATGAGGTAATAACTCAATTATTTACGAATGTTTTAGCCTTTATCTGATGTTATTGATTCATAGTTGGATTTAGATTTTTTTATTGATTTGTAGACAAGATCTGTCAGTTCACCTAAAGGAAAGTGGCTAATGTCAGTCATGAACACTTGTAATTAATTTAAGGTTATTGTAAAAGAGTGACTTATCGGAATTTAATAGACTTCAAACGCGACAGCGCATCGCCCAATCGTATTGTATGAATGTGCTGTAGATTATTTTTTTACTTAAATTGTAATTTTTTTAGGTTATTATAACCGGCAATGTTGGCATATGGACAGCATGGCTCGACACCCATGCAGTTGAAGGCGGCAGTATCAGGCCGCTTGTTGGTCCTGAGGGCTGCGTGTTGGAACCGTCTCCAGCCGAATTGGGGTCCCTGTACACTGGGTCCGCATACCTCGGCATACGAGGCGCAGATAACTTCACGACTGTATTGCTTACGCTGTTACCTAAGGTATGTATATTTATAAATCATATTGGAATTAAATTCTTTCATTGGGTACGCATTTCTGCTTATTTTTACATAAGCAAAATAATAACATTTTATATTTTTTATTTACATGAAGTTATATATGTCAAAATTATTTACATAAACTTCCTGATTATTTATTAACAATATTTATTGTTTTATACACGCTTCAAAGGGTGTGCTAGAGAGGTAAGTCTTGTTCTAGGGTAGCTATAGTAATTTTTTCAGGCGAAAAGTTTATTAATTTTATGGTACTGATAATGGCAAAGGTTAATATCTGGGTTGAGCTATATAGCCCATTTGCTGAGATTTTGCAACCAGTTTTTTAACAAGATATTTTGCTAGTAACCCAGTAATGCTCTTCTATCGCAGCTAAGTTGCCAAGAAATATTAGAATATTCCATTTTGTAACTGATTAAGAATCTTGGCTGCCATGTTGGCCGAAATAATATGGAATAACATCTTTGCAGAAATGGTTTAGAAATGAACATAATTCTTCACATTGTAAATTTCTCAAGCAAAATACTTAATTATCATCATCATTTATGTAATAGTAACTAGATTTTTTCTGAAATTATTTATTTTCGATATATTTGCAGATAAGCGTACCGTTATCATGTATGGATAACACATATTTGAATACGAAATACACCCCCAATACGCCCACATTCGTGAAGATGGGGTACCAACCAGATCGCCGGTTGAGCGACATGAACCAACTTTCGAAAACTACCTCCTGCTATTACCAGGAAGAACTGCACACAGATGGATCCCAGTGGATTGTTCCTGAGGTAACATATTACCACTTTCGTCTAATAATATCAGTACTATTTTGCATATGTATGTGTTTATTATGGTTCATTTCACTCTTTGATTTTACGAACAATGTAATTCTAACACAAATATAGTTTTTAAGGAGTTATTAATTACGAGTATTTATTTATAAATTCTTAATGTTAACAGAGAATTAAAAACATTAATATACCCTATTTGATGAACCCCATATTATAGTTTCTAGGGACCTGACCGGTTTTGTGTAATATTCCTACATTTGAAACTAATAGACATCTTCACAACGAGTACGTATAAATTTGACATAAATTACAGACATATTATTTATTCCATTTCAGTCTTGCCTTATCTGTGGCTGCATACATGGCGAATTACGATGCGATCCCGTGAGATGCCCACCTGTACATTGCACGGTGCCGACCATCACACCACCGGGTCAATGCTGTCCTATATGCACTAGTGAGTTTTTTTATTTATACTTATAATATACTTACATTATTGATGATAATCAATCATTTCTGAGTTGTTCATTCTTGAAACATGGAGATATTAAGTCGTATTGCCCTAATTTTATTACCATTATAAAGCAAGTAAGCTAGCAAGATAATTTGCGGAATTGGCAATAAGGAATTATTCGTAAGTTAGTTTAGGAAATAGAGTTATAGATGTTTTTAAACAAAACCGTCTTCTAGTAAATAAAGTATTCATTCTGGATTACATATTATTACGGTTAAGCGAAATAGCTTATAAAATTAATTTTATAAACAGCGATCGAGCGTTTTTGACGCCTTACAGAAGTTCCAAGTTGCATTCTTCTTTGGTTTAAAGGAATTCGCGTTTGGTGAATTAGTCAAAATTAGTATTAACTGAACCTACGTATATCATAAATATATAATATTCAAGATATAATAATGTATTTCTCTATGGTATAAATCTGACTAAAAATAAAACTTGGCATTCATTATGAATTCTTCTTACTTACAGATTCTTCGACTGCCGTATGGAATGAATCCCATGGCTGCCATCTAGCTGGACAGTACCACGCTCCTGGCTCCTCTTGGCACCCATACTTAGTGCCTGAAGGTTACGACACATGTGCTGTATGCACCTGTGAGTTTTCGACGAGACAAGTACGATGTCCTAGAGTTCGTTGCCCGCCACTAAGATGTGCTGAGAAGGATGCGTATAGGCCTGATAAGAAAGCTTGCTGCCGAGTCTGTCCAGAGGTACGTTACATTATTGTATAATTATATACTATATTATATATTAATATAATTATAATATTACTATATTATATGAGTTAGTCAAATATAAGCACACTTGATGGTAAGCGTACATCTATAAATCCTTGCAACACAAAAGGAACTTACGCGATGTTGACCTCGTATCCTGGGTCATATTACCCATAATTATAGTATGGTAGTGGAGTAAATGGATACTGGGGTTTAAGATTTTCATAAGGATTATTTTGCAGTACTATTCCTGAGAACTAGTATTATTTTGAGTATTTATTTTATGTTTACTAGATACAAGAAGAGACCTCTTTAATGTTGGCTAAACCACAGATACGATAATACTAATACTATTAGTAGCTATATATTTTTGTCGTTTTAGGTAAAAGCGAAGAAACCTGAAGACTTAACACCAAAAGACCAAGCTGCTCCACGGACTGCTGAAGAGATCCTAGCGGAAGGAGGTTGCAAGTTCCCAGACGGGCCTTTGATGAACGGTGTAGAAGTACATCCGTCTATACATTCGCATGGAGAACAGAGATGCGTCACTTGTAGGTGCAAGGTGAGTTAATCAGTTTTACCATTACAATATTTGAAAAAGTTATTTCCGATCTTTTTTATGATATTCAGAATGGCAAATAAACTGACAGTCAACCTGATGGAAAATGATATTATGAAGATAACCTTACAGAAATTTTAAACGGAAAACGAAAACGGCCTTGTTATGTTTATGGTGTAGTTCATTTTTTATGTTAAGTTTTTTTTTATTCATCATGCAATCAATCTTTTCCTGACTATTAGCAGATCTTTCTGTACTTGTCGTGTAGAGTTGATTCTCCTTTGAGAATTCATTTCCATAAAATTCTATCACTGGTGAATTCATGCTAAGTTATTGAAGTCTAGTATTTAGCGCCTCTTCAAACGTGCAACACAGTCCAATAACGTCAATTGCTTCGCAAGTTTATTCGGATGATTGTCCAGCCTAATTTTATACTTCTTACAGGTATTTAAGATTTCTTCTTTAACAGAATTGATTTAGAGAGTTTTGTGAACTTTTTATTTATATATTTACTCTGAAATATGAATAAACCAGGGTGTGTTGCATATTTGGTTTAAGATAAAATTCTGGATTCTTTAAATTTTATTTATGTTAGTAGAACTTGTAAAATCCTACGATTGAAATCCATAGGTCCATATCGGTTTATAAATAGATTGTGTTATATATATGAGTAGCTAATTTCAGTTGATAATTTTGAATTAATGTCAATTAGCTATTGCAATTCTTGATATTTGAGATTTAGTCATCTTTCTTTGTTTGGATATGTTTATTTCACGTCAGTCGACGGTCGATTTATATTAGGTTACGTTCTTATCCTGGTTCATTTATGTCTAATAATTGTGTCTTCTCATTTAAAGTTTGTTTTCTTTAGAAGGCAATAAAATTGTAGTTTTAAAACCATGCAAATGTAATTTGACTAAATTTTAGTTGCTGTATTGCAGGACGGCGAGGTGACATGCGTGCGCAAGCGTTGCAACCGCGCGTTGTGCGCGCGGCGGCGGCGCGGCGACGCGTGCTGCGCGTGCGCACGCCCGCGTCGCCCCCGCCCTCCGCCGCCGCCACCGCCCAGCTGAGCGACCGCACACGCGCCCCGGACACAGTATTACTGCGCCCGATCCCGTCTATACCCCAGACTGCTCGTAGGCTAAGTTGAGTGACTATAGACTGATATATTTTTATGTACTCGTGCGATTCGAATGTGTAGGTTAAGGCTGCGTCCTGTAATGTCGCGCTTCGATGAAACCGCTCGATGCGTCAAGTGCGCGCGTGCATGTTGTGGTGCCGATGCTCGCCGCACGCGGGGCAATTGGGGTATGAGGTTAATTATGGATCGTTCGGTTTCGTCGCAGGGCGTCCTTCGTGCGTTACGAGATAGACGGTTCGCGGCGGACGGCCGCGTGACGGCTCGGAGTCGGCCGACGACGGAGTAGCTTTACCGTTTAATACTGAACGACTATGATTATTATATTTACCCACCGGTATTTTAATTGGTATTATGAGATGTCCCGAAATTTTGTAGGCGCATTGTATTATGTCACCCAATACTGAGATGATAGTGTTAGTCGTACGGCTCGATTGCTCGGATTGTGGCAGAAATGGTGCGAGCGTGGTCGATAAAGATGTGCCATATTTTCTTATTGTAAATATAAATTATTACTTTAATATTACTTATGTGCATATTTATTTACGTTTGTAATGTAAACAATACGGGATCGTGTTGAGTTCGAGTACTCGTGTTTGTCCATCACAAACTCTTAAACGTTATTTTGATCGCCTTGTTTGTGCATTTGCTTTTAGTCTTGTATAATTATAACTTAATACCACACAATTAAAGTATAACCTATATTTTGATAATACCTATGTCTATTTATTTAATTGAGTCAAAATGTAAGTAGATTACCTTTATATGAAGTAGAATACTTAATACCAGAAAATATAATTAAATATTTATCTTAAGTATTTTTTTATTTAAAGCATAAAATGCGCATTATACTAATGATGAACGCTTAATCTGAGTGCTTATCGATTGCTCAAGCGTTTGATTAATTAAGAATATGCCTATAAATGAGCGATACGCCTAACGTTCGTTGATAATTGTATTTGGTGGTCTGAAAATGATATATCACAATAACCATCCAAGAATGTTACTGTAAATACATATAATATGTGCTATAAATATTATTTTAACATTGTATACTATTTTATACTTTTAACATAGTGGATTGTACCGATTTAGTTAAGCAGTACTTTATGCCAATTACGTGACTAGTTTTGATTAATTACTAGGTTAACTAATATTTGTAATTAAGGAAGCTAGTCCAAATAAATGTTTCGATGTGATGGAAATGAATGCCATGTAGATAGATTATACGTCTGTCCATATTTGTTACTAATTGATTATAATTTAGAGACCTTACTTCCACTATAACAAAGATGTGTATAGACTGATTTATACTTTGTATGCTTATTTGTATCGAATGCTATTTGCCTGTAATTGCACAATTGTTTAGTTTGCGTATTTCCAAATTTTATGTAAAGTTGTTTTCCACCCATATTCTCTTTTGTGTAAGACATCTTAGTAGCACCTCTACCACTTTCGAAGTCATTATGTCATGGATAAATATATATAAACGGTCATACAATCAGTACATTATTTATGATCTATCAAGTTTCATACTGGAGTTGTAATTGCAGTTAGCATTCTCTCGAAATACAAATTTCTATTCACTTTCAAGTCCTATAATAGTTATGAGATAGCCAAAAAACTAAGATTCATTGTGAAAATAAGGTCTTGAACAATTAGTTTATGTAGCAAGGACAGAAATTTATTAAGGTTTTGGAATACTTTTCGTATGCGTTGCCAAAAAATGTTTAAAGATTATAAAATAAAAAAAAAAAAATACGTCTCGTTGTGGGTTCTAGTCCATCAAAATTATGAGGAGGATGTACGGTGTTGTATTGGCTATAGAAATATGATTGTTTTTACGTAACGAAAATATTATTCGATTATACGACAGTTCTCACGGTTTTAATATTTTTGTATTATCTAACAATAGAAAAGTAGACTCCTATGGCTTGCAAATAACAAACTAATGGCCATAAAGGATACTATAAAGTCGCTTGTATTGCATTGTTTTCTATTTGTTAATTATAAGCGTTATTCTCCCATTTTTCGGCCTCGAGGGATGATGTTTAACAATTGATCGATACTTATTACATTTCATAGGAAACTTAAAATGCTATGACCCCATTTTTTATATAGTTAGTGGCCTCAGTTATCAAATAATTTGGTTAAACTATTTACATCCAGTCAATATAGTTTGTAAACCGATACAGTTCTAATACGAATAAATCACCTGTGAAAAGAATATGTTGTTTTAATATAATATAATATAATTATTTATTAATTTATTACAAGTGTTCGTATATTCACCCACACGCATACATTCTTTATTTACTTTATGTAGATAAGTATAAAATATCTCAATAATTACATGATAATCAAGCATGTTTTTTTCTTTATAAAAAATTAAAATAAGAAAGTTCTTATTATTCTTCAGTTTAATTCTAACAATATTTCAGAGCATTGCAATATTTTAGTAAGTGATAATTTCATGGTAAGGATTTTTTGAGAGCGATCAGCGTATCTGCCATGGCGTCCGCTATAGCATCTGCAACTTGTATAGTAGAGTTAAAACCCATGATACCAATGCGGACTGCCTTCCCAGCATAGAATGGCAAACAAGCTGACGCAACCTGATGGAAAGTATAGTATCATGGACATAATAGTTAAAACGCCATGATACCAATTCCTGAGGACTCAGGTGTTATTCCTCTGTACCCAGTAAATTCACTATCCCACCCTTCAAACCGAAACACAGTTATGCAAACACAACTGCTTCAGCACACGAATGGGACCGACTTTTGTACAAAGTCTCCCTCTGGTAAATCAGAGATATCAGGATGTTGTGCCTGCAAATTGATAGAAGATAGACTTTTAATCTTCTCTTTTAAAATGTATAGTGTAAATAAAAGGATATATAAATATTAATTGTTAAATTAAAATCGTATAAATATTAAACATATGAAAGTTTTTAAAGATTTTTGGATCTTTGGATGGTTGCATGTTTATTATTTAATCACGCTTAAATGCCTAAAATTAGTACAATATCTAATATTGGTTCAAGTGGCAACACATAAGGGTGTTAACGACGGTACAGAATATTCTAAGATATTTCTCATAGGCAGTTAGTTTGTTTGCTATTATTATAATAACGACTTAATATTAATATCAAATTATTATTTCGTTTGATTTTTTTTTTTCAATTTAAAAGATTCTGATACAGAGGCTTCTGCAGTTTGTTTCAAGAGAACTTTATGAAAAGCTGATCAAGTTTTATTAAAATTATCACTGAAACATTTCATAAATGAAGCGAGTTACAAATCATCATTATCATATCAGCCATTATCTGTTTATCGTTGAACATAAGCTTCCCCCATAAGGAGGGGGTTGTTAGTAGTTGCCACACTTGGCAGGCGGATTGGCAACCGAAGTTAGGCTTTGGTAATTAATTAGTTAATTAGTAACAAAAACAATCAATAAATCGATATTCCATTTGTGCTATTATTGGACAATAATTCTTTGTCTTATGATCGTGTAAGTTGTTCGTGTGGTTATATTTTTATTAAGTTATATAAATAGAAATAGACTAAATTTACCCTTGCAATCTTGATATATATACAAAACAATAATATATACTCACTTGTTTCTCATATAATTTACAAACTCTACATAATCGTAATCTTTTGGCAAAACTACAGTCGTCACAGTCACTAGTCGTTCTTCAGAATTTGGTATCAGAAACTCCAGAGATAGTTCTTCAATGCGTTTGTAGAAGTGAGCTGTATTTCTGGCATGGCGGGCCCACACTTTGGGCAATGTCTCTTTGCTTATTTCCTTTAGACAACTCCGAAGTGCCCATAGTAATGGCGGAGATAGTGTATGGTGATATCTGTTTACATAAATACAGACATTAGTTCCTATATTTGCAATATAGAATTAGTAACTTTATATTCACTATATTACACTTTATATTACACTAGAGTAAAAACGTATCGATTGCAAAAAGAATAGTAAAAATCGGTTTAGATACGGCGAAGATGTCATCATTATTTTAATTTTTATTTGTTGACTTCTGAACATAGGCTTCTCTAAAGAAAGGCCTTAAGGAATGGTCCTGAGCCATTTCCATTTAATAAAGATTTGTGTAACATATTAATATATATATATATATATATATATATATATATATATATATATATATATATATATATATATATATATATATATATATATACATAATAATAGAGTTCCCCCTTTTTTTAGAAGACTTGAAAATTAGTAAAGTTCTTAATATTTTTACATCAAACGAAAATATTATCTAGACTCGACAAATAAAATAAATACATACTGTCTTGTATTACCAAAGCAGTTCCACTGTGCCGCTAATAATTCAATGTCGAGGTAAAAGGGTGGTTTAAAATTTCTATTTTTCATAACTTCCCTGTAAGGATGAAAAAAATATTTTAAATAAATTTTTTAATAGATAAACTCTGGTTTTCTGTCTTCTCTGGTATTACAATTTCTCCATGATTATTATAAATATTATTAAAAATTAAACAAAGTTACTAATTCTTGCTAAAATCGTTACCTAATAGCTTACCGTCTTACTACAAAAAAAAATTGCGATAGATAGGCAATCAATACATGTTTAGACTTCGTATTACAAAAGTGCGTCTAAAAATCTGTCTAAACAAAAAAAAGTGTTTAAATAATAATTTAATAGTCTATAGTTTTTGGTATATAAAATATACATTATTACACTGACTAAATAATATTTAGTAACTTAGAGTTTTGCTAAACAGTGTTTTAAATATTTTCTATAGTAAGACCGTTAGTTCTAGTCATTAATGCTACTACATAACGTCTTTAGAAATAAAATGGAACTCAAATGGCTATAAGATTAAATGCCTCACTGTAGTGTGAAAAGAAAAATCTTTGAAAAGAAAATGATCTATAACTGTAATTATATGAATGTAATATAAACCTTAAATTCAAACGATAAAATGCAGTTTTCTTTGTGTTAAAATATAGCAAACTAATTCAAAAAGTAACGAACCACACTGAAATTGAGGCGATATTAGCTCGGTTGTTTCGTGTTGATGAGCTTAGTGAATAGTTCATTAATCCTTTTTCAAAGATTTCGAATAGATTCGATCTTCGAATCGAAGTATTATGGAATTAGAAGTCAATGTTTTGAATTCATTTATGAGTATATTACTCATGTTTTTAAAAATATTATGAATATGTAATACTAAACTTCCGCGTTGTTAACATATGTTTAAATTATAATATATTATGAGGGTAGCTGTAAAAACTGCATGGACTGCCAGAAGTAGACAGCGTTCACTTCTGTCCTACCGTGAGTATGACGTGGTTATTAATATAATATATATAAAACAGATTAGAATAAACGAAGACTTAAATCGAAAATTCAATCAAATCATGATTTTTCTAGCTGGCCAGTGTTGTTTAATGTCAAATATATTACAAAATTCTTATAAATATCTAAAAATGTAAAGCGCAGACAGGACATGGAGGTTCTTTATAAGTATTCGATTTCATTCATATTATATTGTTAAATTTTAATTGCGGCCGTTTTTATTATATAAAGAAGTATTTATTATAACTTACTGGGCCCGCTCGCTTAGAGCAACAGGTGATATACCCGCCGGTCCACTGAGTCCTTTTTGGGTCGAAGAACAAACTCCATCTACACCCCATTCATCCATGAAGAACGGTTCACCACCCAGAGAAACTACTGTGTCCACCAATAATATAGCTCCATATCTATAAAAATAATAATCTATAATATATATATATATATATATATATATATATATATATATATATATATATATATATATATATATATATTAACTGATCTAACAGAAATTTTCGATAAGACACTAAGCTGATTAAGAAACAAGATTTGAGATATTATTATATATATAACAACATTAATACGTGAATCGCGTAAACTACGCGATTCACTTGAGATTTGACTATTTGAGAACTGAAAACACATTCGCTTAAACAAAATTCAGTTTCAGTTTGAATCGTTGTTTTCCTCACATAGTACAATCTTGTTTCTTGAGTGCATTGAGTTGGTAGGCGACAGCTTCAGATGAATTACCCACTTTATCTGGTGACCATAGACTAAGTAATCAGTACGTTATTTAAGAGTCAGCATTGTTCTTATATTGACAAACCTAGAAAATGAATTTAGCATCCACTTAAAAATATGAACGTAACAAAATAAATTAATAATAGGTTCTACAACTATTTATCATATGTTCCCACTTCATCCAAAATATTGATATCGATAGTTGGCATGAAAAACCTGGCTATTTTATACCTTAAAATTTGGCAAAGCCAATTAAGTGATTGCATAGATGTTATATAAATATTTTTTGTTCGAAGTGACGTGAGCTTGTTAGTGACATTAGACCATCCTGCTTTGTGTGGCAAGGATATAGATTTTTTAATACATATAAGCAACATCGCGCTGTTTTAAATAGTTTAATTGAGATGAATCAAAATTATGTAAAATACAAGTACGTGAAAATTTCCTATTTTAAATTATTAGGATTAAATTCAATACATTTTTTAACAATTTTTGTACAAGACATTTATAACGTTTCTATAATATTGCATTTAAAGAGATAAATGTACGTAGGTACTTACGTACAAAATGTGTAATTTTGTGGTTTTTTCTTCTAATTCATATTATATATAGATATTGCATATGTAATCTAATGAATTACATTCATGTAAATCCTTTTTACTATTTAATATTTAAAGTGTAATTAATACTAGAATGTAAAAGTAGTAAAATAGCCCAAATTTATTTTTATTATAAATTTCTGTGAAAGCTTTTGGAGTTAATACTGCATACGTGAACTTTCCTGTTTGTCTGTTTTGCTCTAACATACTTGTTTTATTATATTTTTTCTCTTTTACATTATCATTGTATATATTTATAATCTGAAGAGTGAAAGGCTTTAATTGACTCATATTTGGTTTATTTATCAGAATAGCATCTTAAACGATAGAACGAGCACGCAATATTGCTATTTACGTGGGATTGATTTATGAATACGGACTTTAGGTACTTACGTGTGTGATATTCAAACCCAAATGTAATTAATGTATTATTCAAGTTACTAACTTGTGACATAGCGCACCGAGGCCTTCTATTTTTTGCACCGAACCAGTAGATGAATCGCCATGAGTAATATATAGAGC